GTACATGCCCTTGACCGGAATCGAACCTGGGACCTTTCAGTACGCAGGCCGATGCTCTATCCACTGAGCCAAACTGGTTTCGACTAGCATGGTTTATTTTAATCCCACTAAAGTATTTTTTGCCAAATGGACTTTGGGCTAAAACAAGTTCTGCTTTCTATTTGTTCAGATTATACCTGGCCATATGCAAATGGGGCAGGAGAGTGGGAGGGAGTTTATTCTATTCAATTCAACAAACATCTGTTGAATGCCCTATGCTTTGTGCCAGTGAGATACCAAAATTAATGAGGCACCACCCTATTCTCAGCCTTGTCAGAGAAAAATGGTTATAAGAAAAAAAAATGCATTCACACTAACTCAAGGGAAAGGACCACACTGCAAGGCTCTAATAAGCAAACTCATGGATCTGAGAACCAAATTAAAGGCAATTAGACAAGGAAAACTTCCTCTTTCTGGCTTTCAGCCCATGAACTTTATCTCTGCTTCCCTCACTCGTAGCCATCTTTTTCTTTTTGCTCATGGTCAACCACTGGCTGATTAGCTACTGTGTCTCTTGGTTCAAGTCTTGAGAAAGAGGGAATTGGGTTTCAGGTCAACCAATTGAATATAGGGAGTAGACATCACATGGTACAAATATGGTGCCTAGACCCACCTTTCAGCAGTATATGTGAGTAGGGGGATTGTGGGCACTACAGGCACTCCAGAACATATTTTTTTCTGTTTTTAACTCTCTCCCCTGTCCCCTAGTTGAAAATAGCATGAGACAATCTAGGATAGTACTTGGCTCAAAAATATTTGAAAAAGAGAAGGAGAAAGGAAAAGTTGGACCAAACTCTGGACTTCATGGTTTCCTAAATTCACTCTGCAAGTTTGAGAAATAAATGTCAGTTCCTGAGAACCAACAGCAAAACATGTTCTATCTGGGTTTGTTCCCAGACCTGAAATGCTCGGCTGGGTAAATTTACCCACACCTTGGCGTAACTGATATGGTGTGGGAGTCTGCATTGTACCCTGATTA